GTCTGAATTAATTTTTGTCCTAGTCATCATTTTCTAAACGTTCTTCCTTCCACATCTCTGTCATTCATCTGTAAAAGTTTTCCTTTTGTAAGTCCCTGTTCTTTCAGACATGACATCATTTTTATTTATTTATTTATTTTTAAGCACAGGACAACATGCTGAACAGACTTTTTTTCTTTTTTGAGTTGGAGTCTCACTCTTGCCTAGGCTGGAGTGCAGTGTCAGGCTCACAGCCACTATAGCCTTGACCTCCTGTACTCAGGCAATCCTTCTGCCTCACCCTTCCAAGCAGCTAGAACTACAGGTGCGAGCCACCATGCCCAGCTAATTTTTTAAAAATTTATTATAGAGACGAGGTCTCGCCAAGTTGCCCAGGCTGGTCTCAAACCCCTGGACTCAGACAATCCTCTTGCCTCAGGCTCCCAAAATGCTGGGATTACAGGCTTGAGCCACTAGGCCTGGCCTCTTATTTTTAAATGCCCAGTATTTCTCAGACTTCTGAAGCTTTCATCTTTCTACTTGGGGGGTGTTTTTGTAAAACAATTTCATTTTTCCCTGAGTACACTATCATTATACAGTCATGTGCTGTATAACAACATTTTAGTCAACAATGGACCACATATATGATGGTGGTCCTGTAACATATTAATGGAGCTAAAGAATTCCTGTTGCCTAGTAATATCGTAGCCATCGTGCTGTCCAACACAACGCATTACTTGCATGTTTGTGGTGATGCTGGTATAAACAAACCTGTACTTCCAGTCATATAAAAGTATAGCACATACAATTATGTAGAGAATATAATACTTGATAACAAATGACTGTGTTACTGGTTTATTTATTTACCATACTTTTTTTTTTTTTTTTTTTGATTTGGAGTCTCACTCTGTTGCCCAGACTAGAGTGCAATGGCCGCTCCCGGCCACCGCAGCCTCGACCTGCTCGGCTCCGGCGATACTTCCGCCTCAGCCTTCTGAGTAGCTGGAACTACAGGCGCGCGCTACCACGCCTGGCTGATTTTTTGATTTATTGTAGAGATGAGGTCTCGCTGCCCAGGTGGGTCTCGAACCCGCGGGCTCAGGCAATCCACTCACCTCAGCCTCCCAAAGGTGCGGGATTACAGGGATGAGCCACTGAGCCCGGCCTATTTACCATACTTTTTATTGTTATCTTAGAATGTATTCCTTCTATTTATATGTTTAAAAGTTAGTTGTGAAACAGCCCTAGACAAATCCTTCAGGAAGTATTTTTTGAAAAAGGCATTGTCATCATAAGAGATGACCACTCCATTCATGTGATTGACCCCGAAGACCTTCCAGTGGGACAAGCAGTGCAGGTGGAAGACAGTGATGCTGATGATCCTGACCCTGGATAGGCCTAGGTTCATGTATGTGTCTTAGTTTTTAGCAAAATTTAAAAAGTAAAAAAATAGGCCAGGCACAGTGGCTCAAGCCTGCAATCCCAGCACTTTGAGAGGCCAAGGTGAGAGGATTCCCTGAGCCCACGGGTTCAAGAACAGCCTGGGCAAATTGCCGGACCTTGTCTCTACAATAAATCAAAAAATTAGCCGGCCGTGGTAGTGTGCACCTGTAGTTCCAGCTACTTGGAAGGCTGAGGCGGAAGAATCACTGGAACCCAGCAGATCGATGCTGGAGTGGTGTGAGCATGCCACTGCACTCCAGCCTGGGCAACAGAGTGAGACTCAAACTCAAAAAAAAATGCTCAAAGTGGTTACCATCAGTGTCCAGACACTTCTGATTATGTATACATTTTCATTTTTTGGCATATATATATATATATATATATATATATATATATATATGGATTACCTGAGCCTGCGGGTTCGAGACCAGCCAGGGCAACTTGGTGAGACCTCATCTCTACAATAAATAAAAAATTAGCCAGGTACGGTAGCATGTGCCTGTAGTTCCAGCTACCTGGAAAGCTGAGATGGAATATATAAAATAAAAATAAATAAATAAATAAAAAATATATATATGTGTGTGTGTATATATATATTTGTTGTTGTTGTTTAAGTCAGTATCTCACACTGTTGCCCAGGCTAGAGTGCAGTGGCACAATCATGGCTTACCGCAGCCTAGACCTCCTGGGCTCAGGTAATTCTTTGCTTCAGCCTCCTGAGTAGCTGAAACTACATGTTCATGCCACCACACTCAGCTAATTTTTTTATTTTTGTAAAGGCAGTCTCAATATTTTGCCTAGGCTGGTCTTGAACTCCTGGGTTCAAGCAATCCTCCTGTCTCAGACTCCCATAGTGCTGGGATTTCAAGCATGAGCCACTGTACCTGGCCTTTTATGCTATACTTATACTGTACCTTTTCCACGTCTAACTATGTTTAGAGACAAAGAAACTTACCATTTTGTTCTAATTGGCTACAGTATTCAGTCCAATAGCATGCTATACAGGTTTGTAGCCTGAGAGCAGTAGACTCTACCCACGGTGTAGGTTTTAGTAAGCTATACCATCTAGGTTGTATAAGTATACTCTATGATGATTGGGCAATGATGAAATCACCTCAAAATACATTTGTGTTGTTAAGTGACGCATTGATTGTAATTGCTGTTATTTTAGTTAACTTTGTGGGCACCTACTGTGTGCCACACACAGTGCTAATACTTTTGCCTTCATAATAACCCCCATTTTTATAAGAAATTTGATGTGCAGAGTTGTCCCATGATCTTGGCACTGCTGAGACTTAACCATAGGTCTGTCTGCTGCAATGTTCATGCTTTAACTCCTAAGCTGTGCCACCATTGGAATCTATCATCAGAAATTATCTGTCTTACTGGGAATTGGGAGGGAAGAAATGACCTGCCTTGTGGGTGTGAGCTGCTTCCAAGCTTTGTAATGGTCCATGTGCATATTGGATTAAAGATGTGTATTTGATCTCAGGTAGTGGCATTTGAGAGCAAAAAAAGATCATAATTTTTCCTGATGTCTTCATTTTAGAATTTTGGAAACGGGGGCTCAGAAAAGTTAATAACTTGCCTAAAGTCACACATGTACTTTGGGAAGCAGAGATTAGGCAGCAAACAAACCTCCTGAGCTCACTTTCATTCCAGTATATAGTTTCCTTTCACTACTCTGTATCTCAAAAAGTTGAGAATTTTATGTTTGGATAGTTATTTAAATCTGTGCCACAGTAAATTTGAGCTGACTTGCCAAATACTTTAAATAGGAAATAAGGAGACATGACCATGGAAAATACAGATTAGCAAAACAAGACTAAGTGCAGGGGTACTATGTTGTCCTTGGGGTCCTATACAGTTACCAGAATCATGCTACAAATTTTGCTTTGAGCTTCCTGAGCCAAAGGAAAACGTGATTAGCTACGGGATTGATATGTCCAAAAAGAAAAATTATATCAAGTCCTCAAGGGAAACAAAAAACTTTTTCTTGAACTTTTCTGCATTGGTTTTAGCACAGGGGACAGCTAACAGCTTACAGATGTAATTTTGTGTTAGTTGTTGCAATTCCCTGTGGTTACATATAACTCCAAGTTTCAGGGGCTTAACAATAGAGTTCATTTTTTGTTCATGTGAAATCTAAAACTGTGTCCCTTATTGGTGACCAGATAATTCCAAAAGGTGCTTCAGGACCCAGGCTTCTTCCTTGTGGCTCAAAGTCTTTAACTTGCAGTGTCTAGGTCACCTGGAGATAGGAACAAGTACAGGCTTTGTGTGATAGAGTGTATTATGGGCCATCCTGGAAGTGTCACACAGCACATGGCCACGCCTGACTGCTCGGGAGACTGAGAACTGTGGTCAGGCCACATGCCCAGGGGGACGATGCCGTGGATTTGGTGAACAGCTAACCAGTCTCTGTAGATCCTATGCCTCTGAAGGGCTCCCTGCCAAGTGCCAGAGTCTCTGGCCCCAGGTTCCTTCACCAAGTGGCTTTTCTTGGTCTAGTAGTAGTACAAACTGGTGCTCAAGTGGCTTGTATGGTTCTATGACTTTTGTCTTCAATCACTTGACTTTGAATTTTTAAAAACAGGCCGGAGTCTTGTTCATCTCTATCACCAACACTTACCACAGTACCTGGCCAGAGAAGCCACTCTTTGAATTACATAGATATAAAATTTTTATTTTATTCTTTTATTTTGAGACCGGGTCTCACTCTGTTACCCAGGCTGGAATGCAGTGACTCAGTCATATCCTATTACAGCCTCAAACTCCTGGGCTTAAATAATCCTTCCACCTCAGCCTCCCAAGTAACTAGGACTACAACAAACCGTACCATGTCTGGCTAGCTTTTTTTTTTTTTTGTAGAGGTGAGGTCTCTATGTTGCCCAGACTAATCTCAAACTCTCGCAAGCAATCCTCCCACCCCAGCCTCCCAAAGTGCTAGGATTACAGGCTTGAAACTCTGTGCCCAGCCTTGCTTGAATTTTGATTTGGAATTTATTTGCTAAGTGAGGTCAAGGAATCAGAGTTTTGGCAACAGATTTGCTTTGCTCATTGCACTTTATTTCAAGAAAAAATATAGTTTAGATTTTAAAATAGACCACAGGGCATATTGCAGATTATCTGTCTACATACAGATAATTGGATAGTTACCTCTCCTTGGAGAAGAAAAATAATAATAAAGTAAGCTTAGCCTAGGCAAAATAGTGAGAACTTGTCTCTACAAAAATCAAAAAATCAGCCGGGTGCACACCTGTAATCCTAGCACTTTAGAAGGCCACGGTGAGAGGATTGTCTGAGCCCAGGAGTTCAAGACCAACCTGGGCAACATGGCAAGACCTGGTCTGCACAGTAAATAAAAAAATGAGCCAGGTGTGGTAGTATGCACCTATGGTCCCAGCTACTCGGAAGGCTGAATTACCTGAGCCTAGAAGGTTGAGGCTATGGTGAGCTGTGATCATACCACTGCTCTCCAGCCTGGATGACAAAGTGAGACCCTGACTCTAAATAAATAAAGTAAGTAAGCTTTTGATTTTTAGTGGTTATACTTTTTTTTTCTTTCTTCTTTACAGTGCTGTATCGGAAAGGCCCTCCATTTTACCATGCAAGGTTTGGAGTGATTTTAAAATAAATTAATGATTTAAGGGGATACAAGGAAACTTCAGGCATCAATTTTAATTTTCAGTGCCATAGAAACAATTAAAAATCATGTTTCTTGTGGCCCGACAAATGCTATATGTCTGTGCCTTATATACTAATATTGTTATACATAGCATGATATATAGTTTATGAGTTCCAGTGTTAAACATTGAGTTAATCTTTGTCATCTTAATATCAGTGAATATTAGCATCTGAACAGTTAAGTGGATTTATAGCTTTCATTTTGGGAAAACTGTTTTTTTCCTGTGTTAAAATCAGCCTGAAAATTTGTAACTTTAATGAATTTTAGACCGAGCTCAGTGGCTCAGCCTGTAATCCCAGTACTTTGGGAGGCCAAGGGGAGTGGATTGCCTGAGCCCACGGGTTTAAGACCAGCCCAGGCAACTTGGAGAGACTTTGGCTCTACAATAAATAAAAAATTAGCCAGGCACAGTAGCGCACACCTGTAGTTCCGGCTACTTGGAAGGCTGAGGTGGAAGGATCGCCAGAGCCCAGCAGGTCGACTGCTGGGGTGGCTGTGAATGTGCCACTGCGCTCCAGCCTGGGCAACGGAGTGAGACTCTAACTCAAAAAAGAATGAATTTTAAAATATTTTCTCAATAGCAGTAGGGGTATTTAGGATCAGATGATGTACATTTTATTTTCTGTATCTTCATTCTTGACAGGACAAGCGGTATTCTTTTTAAACAGGTTGATTTCATTTTTTCTTTATTTTTAAAATTCTTTTTCTGTGTTTTCCAGTTATTCTGTCATTATTGAGCTAGTTGATGACCATTTTGAAGGCTCTCTCCGCAGACCTTTCAGTTGGAAGTCCCTGGCTGCTTTGAGCAGAGTTTCTGTTAATGTCTCCAAGGTAACACAACATCAGCTTTGGCATTCAAGTATCACTTAAGTGGTTTGGGTTTTTTTTTTTAATAGAGGCTGGGTGTGGTGGCTCATGCCGGTAATCACAGCACTTTGGGAAACTGAGGTGGGAGGATCGCTTGAGGCTAAGAGTTCAAGACCAGCCTGGAGAACATAGTATGACTCTGTATCTACAAAAATAAAAAACTAGCCAGGCATGGTGGTACATGCTTGTAGTCCTTAGCTACTTGGGAGGCTGAAGCAGGAGGATCACTTGAGCCCAGGAGTTCAAGGCTGCAGGGATCTATGGTTGTACTGTACTCTAGCCTGGGTGACAGAGCAAGACTCTGTCTCTTTTTTTAAAAAAATGTTTTAAATAAACAAAATAGAGATGAAGTCTTGCTATGTTTCCCAGGCTAGTCTTGAACTCCTGGGCTCAAGAGATCCTCCCACCTCAGCCTCCCTTAGAGTACAGACATGAGCCACCTTACCAGCCAGATTTTTTTTAAGAGGTAGTAGAATCAAAAATGTCACATGTAGAAACTTCCCATTGTTCCTGCCATTGACACTGTGAAAGATTTAGGGTCATTTGCACCTTCCCCTTATTGGGATTGCTAAACACTACCACCCTATTGTTTTACCCATCCTAAAGATGAGAAATCTAAGGTTCAGAGAAGTTGAGTGACTTAGTCCAAGATCTTGCAGTTCATGTGCAGGCCTGCACTTCAGACCCATAGCCAGATGGCTTCCAACTCGTGTTGTCACATCCTGTTGCCATCAAAGACAAGCGCGATTCCTCTTATAGGAGGACTATCGGGAATGAAAGCTTTGTGTGTTCTTGTTACTCAGTGACTTGCTGACTGAAAACAAACTGTGGTCACCCTCCAGCGTGGTCCCCACGCCACTGGAGGGGACTGCTCTTGAGAACAGGTTAAGTTGCCTAGTCCTTAGCTTGGTCCTGTAGAAAACAGGGAGCCTATACTGTTTCTAGGATTTTTATGCCCATATATAACATATATCTAGTAATTTGTCACTTAATGTTGTTGAGAGGTTTTTGGAAAACTATGACTCTAAGAGAAATGCTGTAAAACAAAAACAATTTTTGTTCTCATCATTGTTGTAGGAAAATGACATTGAAGGGAATGAAGTTCTTTGAGGACCTGCTGTATGACATCGTTTTGTTTAAAGCCAGTTTCCAAGAACCTATCAACAACGTTAAGTGAGGACTTACAGTATTTAATATTTTAAATGCTGTGTTTATAATCAGTAGATATGCTTATATCCCTTGCCATGTTCCGTGATTACTAACTGAACATGGCAAAATATCCTAACAGATCCTTAATCAAGAATGTAAGCCCCAGTTACATATTCCCAGGGGGAAGCTGATGTGCTCTGTGAATTTCCACATTTTGGTATTTCCAAGGAGCACACAGTAAAAGAGAATGGAGACCACCTGCATTTCATGCTTGATGCATCCACATTTACACTATTATTTTGTATGGCATGGAAATGGTTTTTCATTTCTCAATAGGAACTTATGCTGTGCTATCTGATTAAACCCTCTACTATGACTGACAGAGAAATGGAGTCACCAGAATGTATGAAAAAAATTAAAGTTCAGGTGGGTAAACTCAGTGACGAATCCATGTCATCCCAAAGATTCTGTATATCATATTGTACCCTCTGTAACTTGTGATCCATATATATATATTTTTGTGTGTGTATATGTGTGTGTGTGTGTGTGTGTGTGTGTGTGTGTGTGTGTGTGTGTGTCAGAGTCATACTCTACTGCCCAGGCTGGAGTTCATTGGCACGCTCACAGCCACAGCAGCCTCAACCTGCTGGGTTCAGGGGATCCTTCTGCCTCAGCCTTCCAAGTAGCTGGAACTACAGGCATGCACTACCACTCCTGGCTTAGTTTTTGATTTATTGTAGAGATGAGGTCTCACCAAGTTGTCCAGGCTGGTCTCGAACCCCTGAGCTCAAGCAATCCCCTCACCTCAGCCTCCCAAAGTGCTGGGATTACAGGCTGTAGCCACTGCGCTGGGCCTGTCCCAATATTAAATGAGAACAGTCTTGTTTTGGGAATAGAGTGCCTTCTTGGCTATGTGAGCCTGTCTCTCACCTCTTCCCTACTGAATCCACTGGACACAGAGTCTGTGCTGACTCCCGCTATTCCTTAAATTTCTCACTTCTTTGCCTGTGATGTCCCATCACTCAGCTGAAACTGCTTTCTCCTAGATGGCCTGGTCAAGCCAGGACCTCTCACAGGTCTCATTCCTAGGGACCAGGGGTGTCCGTCCCCATTGACTTGCTCCCTCCTGTGCTTCTGGTCTGGCTTCTGGGCTTCAGTATTGAACTGAACCTCCTCTGTCTTCTGGCTGGTTTTTCTCTGCCAGGGCTGCCAAGTTCCTTGTCCATCCTCCAGTGTGTCTGTTCATGTGTCTGCACCCCTCCCTGCTGCATGTAGAGCCTTGCTTGGCCTCTGGCTCCTCCCCACATCCACTGTGTGTTTCCCTTCTCTCGTGTACTTTTTGTTCTCTTCCTCCTTATTCACACCATCCTAACTACTACAGACCTGCTGGTTGGTCTCTAAGACCCCTGTGCCTCCTCCCGTCAGTTGTCTTCACTAGGGTAGTTTCTCATAAAATGCTGGTCAAAATCTACTTCTCCCTTCTCAGTGACTAACCCAGATACAGCAATGCCATTGCAGACTGGTTCTGTTGTTGAATACTAACTTTCATAGCATCAGGCCTATTCCTAAAATGTGCTAGTAGAATACCATGGCTGAGGCCAGTTTAGCTCTTAAAATCTTTGGAAGATTATCTATTATGGTAGATAATACTTGCATGTTAGGTTGATATTGTTGCATTCACATTTTCTCCACGTGCTTCTGTTATAAAGATGGGAACAGTATCATTATTATGTAGGCAGTTCTTTGTGAAATGTAACTGTGATGCTAAATGCTTGGAATGTTCTTACATTTCTGTTTTTAAAATTCCGTTACCTTTTGTTTTGATTGGTTGCAGGAGGTGATTCTAAGTCGCTGGGTTTCATCGCGAGAGAGGAGTGACCAAGATGAACTTTAGCAATTCAACTTCAGATTTCTAACTTCACCACAACTGTTTATTGAATCTCCTAGAGTCTGCAAGGTTTAGGGCTAGGTAAAGTTCTTTTACTGTAATTGCCCATTAATTGAAAAGTTTTAAAGTGGTGCTGCTGTCGCCAGAACACTATCAGTGTTTTTTTTTTTTTTGAAAGTAGAATTTATAGCCGGGCTCGGTGGCTCAGCCTGTAATCCCACGCCTTTGGGAGGCTGAGGTGAGTGAATTGCCTGAGCCCGCGGGTTCGAGACCCGCCTGGGCAGCCTG